TCCTGGTCAGGGCACATGCCTGGGTTGCAAGCTTGATCCCCAATAGGGGGCATACAGGAGGCAGCTGATCAATGATGTTTCTCTCATTGATGTTTCTCTCTGTCTCTTTCCTCTCTAAAAAAAACCAAAATCAATAAAAACATTAAAAAAATATATGAAACAGATCAGATAAAATTTTAAAAAGATCAGTGGAAGAGATGTTCTAGGAAGAGCAGTAGTCCAAAATTTAGCTCTTTAAGGGTTAGCTTAAAAGAAAAAGAGAAATGTGATAGGAATAATGGTTTTTTAGTGGCGGATAAAATAACACACATAAGTAGTCAAGAAATTGACTTCTGGACATTACATTTTAGCATGCATTTATAAAGCAAATTCTCATACCTAGGGAATTTGAGTGGTATAGTGACAACATCTTTAAATGAGGTTTGTAAAAGATGCAGAAGTGTTCTTTATTTGGTTATTTATAACTAGAGGCCCGGTGCATGAAATTCATGCACGGGTAGGGTCCCTAGGTCTGGCCGGCGATCAGGGCCAATTGGGGCCTTCCAGCTGCCAGCCAGGGCCTCCCTTCCCCAGGTGCCGGCTGCCGGCCAGGGCCTTCCTTCGTTTCACACCGCCCCCTGGTGGTCAGCGCACGTCATAGTGAGTGATGGAACTTCCAGTCTCGTAGTTGAACTCCTAAGGGGACAATTTACACACACACAAACACGCCAGATTATTATGACCACTGGACATTTGTAGGCAAATTGGCTATAATTTCACGCTGAAGTTTCTGGAGGGCCAGGCCATTATAAATAGGGAAGCAAGTTGTTTACCACGACAGTAGAAGTGATTTTTTTCTGAAGATATGGGTAAACAACGTGATTTAACAGCCTTTGAACGTGGGATATATACATATATATATCTACACTAATCAAAGACAGAGGTGCTAATTAACCATACCTTTGCTACGCCCACCAGCCAATCAGAGAGACTATATGCAAATTAACCCAACCAAGATGGTGGTTAATTTGCCTATACCGGCTGGGAGCGAAAACTGAGGACAACATAGAAGGAAGCCAAGCGCTGCAGAAGGGAGCAAAGTAGAGGCGGCGGAGACAGGAACGGAGCCAAGGTGGCGGAGGTGGGAGCGGAGGCGGGGGCAGCGGGCAGCGGGAGGATGCAGGAGGTGGCGGGAGGCGGGAGGGAGCCGAGGCAGCAGAGGCAGGAGCGAAGCCCTATTCTTGCAGGAATCGGTGTGTGTGTATGTATATATATATACATACATACACACACACACACACACACACCCCTTACCTAATAATAGACAAACATGCAAATTGACTGTACTTTTGCTATGCCTTAAGCCAGCCAATCAGAGCGACTATATGCAAATTAACCCAACTAGATGGCGGCCAGCAGGCACGGAGCTGGAGCGAGGAGGAAGCTTGCTTGCTCCAGTGATGGAGGAAGCCAGCCTGCCGCCGGCTCTGAGCTCCACTCAAAAGCAACAAA